GTGAGCCGCCGTGAGCCGCCATTCAAACTAGGGGCAACTTATGTCCGCTGGAGCATCCCGTGAGCCGCCATTCAAACTAGGGGTAACTTTTCGTTGCCCTCCCACCCCCCTTCAAACCAGGGGCAATTTTCCATTGCCTCCGATCCGAGGTTGCGCATCTCGAAGAGTAAGCTCCATGCTTGTCGAGCATCAGCTGTTTGAAAAATAGTTTTTTAAAAATTTTTACTGAGGTTGACTATTTTCTTGAAAACTATTTCATTTTCCAAATCTGGACCATTGTCTTGGACCCAAAAAAGGAAAACTTTCAGTGCTTGCTCCCTGACTTTCATGCTTTTCAAATCAAAAATCGAACAAGTACGTTAATCCGACTCTCATTTTGATCAAAACTGTTTTAGTAGAAAGCAAAAACAAAGAATGGTTAAAATGATGAACTAGGGGCACAGTCGAGCCAGGCGTTCTGTCTTCCCCCCGTCATCGACGTACTTGTCAGAAGAGCGCTCTGCCCGCCAGAAGAAATAGCTGTGAGCTAACGGCATCAGGCGTGAACCCGCGACTCCCTGTTCATTCATCAGTCACCCCGGGGAGGGATGAAAAATGAGAGAATGAAGAATAGAGAGGTGTAAGTTGAGAGAAAAGTGAGGAAAAGGGTTTCGAGAGAAGATCCGAGCTTGAGAGTCGAGCGATGTGAGAATCACAAATTAGAAAGGGTGGGAAACAATGCCTAGAGAAACTGGCCCCTCATGATCTGAGGTCCCCCATCTTCGTTTACGCGTCTGTGTGTCGTGTCTCTTTGATTTGACGCTCTCGTCTTTTGTTTTTAGTCTTTCCCGAGCATGTCTCGTTGTGTTTAGGTCGTGCGCCTATATTTGAGTCCTCCCCGCTGTGTTCAGTTGTAGGCTCGATATCCCGGTTTGAAAAACCCTCATTCAATTTCAAAAATCATTTACGTTCAAGAATGCTGTGCCATTCTCTACGTTTGAGCGTGTTTCGACTCCAACCGGTTCCACCTTTGAGGTCGTCTTGTCAGATTGGGCTGTTTTGTTTAGAATTCGTTGTGTGCAGGATGAACCGAATGCTGTGCTAAGGGCTGTATACAGGTTAATCCCCAGTAGAGCAAGGGCTGTGTGTCCAGAATCAGGCAGTGGGCTGCTTGGGTTATTTTGCTGTTGACTGTTTTAGTTATCTGATTATTACAGTGCAAGTGTTCAATTTTCAGACAACCAATCAGTTCCATTTACATTGAGGTGTAACATGATGAGATGCGATGCAATGCATGAAATGTGTAAATGTAAACACTTTTTCAGATAAAAAGTCCGTTTCATTTCATTATCTTTTCAAATGTACAAGTTTTGGAAACAAAAATCTGCCTGCGGCAGTACAAGGTAATCTATCTACCAACAAAAAGAAAAGTACAAGAAAGAAGAAGAGAGCAAAAATCTGCATCCATGTCAAGCACTCCGGGGGGCCGTCAGTCCGTCCTAGTCCTCTTCCTGGACGAGGGTCCAGGAGCATCATCAGCGTCGTCGTCAAAACCCGAGCTAGAACCGTCTCCGGTCTCCTCCTCCGATGACTCAGACTCCGCCTCTGCCTCCGCCTCTAACTCCTCGTCGTCATCATCGTCCGGGACTGGAGCTCGCGAGCTACTCCCGACATGAGTACGCCCTCCCCTGGTACGGGGAAATATCCTGCCCCCCTCATCCCTCCCCCGAGCAGAGACAGAAGGTCCGGCTGGAGCACCTCCCGCCATGGGAATCTGGAAAGGAGGCTGAAAAAGTACACAAAAAGGGAAATGCATCAGTATACTGTGAACAGTTTATCAGTGCAGAATGCAATGCAGAGTACAGTGTATGAATGCCGTGAGCAGTTTATCAGTGCAAAATGCAGTATATGAGTGCAGTGTGAGGATGCCGTGAGCAGTTTCTCAGTATAGAGTACGGTGCGGAATGCAGTGTATGCAGTGTGTCAGATACTGTGAGATCAGTGGATCAGGTGTCATGCCGTGCATCAGATTATGCGAATCAGTACATAAATGGTTTGAGGCCAGTGTCAGAAGGACATACCGGTATGCTGTAGAGGGCTAGGAGATCAAATGTCCGCTGGAGCATCCCCATCATCGAGGGATTCATCGCCAACGACTGACGGGTGTACCTAGAAGAAGCATGCAAAAGTGTCAGATGCATCAGTATTCTGTGGAATATCAAGTAAACCGAAATAAATGACTATACAAAAGTGCAGTAATACATACCGGAGGTAGATCGGGGACGTCGATGAACTCGTGATCAGCCGGTGGAGGGGCGAAGGGGACCTGATAGGTCGACCCACCCTGCCCCTGGAAAGTCAGTACAGCGGGCAGGGTAGGCCAGCCAACTCCCCGACCTCCCTGCACTCCACCCCTCCCCTGCCACGGACCCAGGCCCTCCTCGCAGCCCCTACTCCAACTCCCGCTCCGGCCCCAGCCGCCGATGCCACGGGCCTGGCCCCCTCTGCCTGACGACCGCTCAGGGGGCGCATCGGGTACGTCCGCACGTACTCCTGATAGTCTCTAGTGCCTCGAAAGCCGGCCTCCTCCCAGCCGATGGAGTAATCATCCAGCTGCTCAGTGGTGAGCCCCTCGGTCTCCCTCATGTCTGCAGGAGGGGGAACCGGGACTATCTGCTCAGGTAACCCAAGGGTCTGGCGTAGAAAACGCTCCCCCAGGTACCAAGCCCGACAGACTGGGCCCTCAAGCAGAATCCGGAAACGCGAGGTCTCCTCTGCACTAGGGAACCGACCCCGCATCGCCGCCGGCATAGGAGCCCACGGCCGCCAAGTGATCTGAAAATGACAGACAGTTCGTTATCTACTGTTATTGAAATATACAGTTGGAAAGCGAAGCTTAAATGAACTGAAAGTAAAGCATACCTCCGCGGGGGTGATGGTGTCGAAATATCGGCGGAAGAAGCCGAATGTCTCCCGTGGTCGCCGGGTGCATCTCCCGTCGAAGCGACTCGAAAAGGGGACGGCCAGGGGAGTCTCCGCAACTGGCACGGGAGCAAGCCTAGGAAAGTAGGCGTAAACCCACAACTACAAAACAGATGTCAGTATGACCGTCAGATAAAGCAGAAATGGCAGAGCCGTGTGTTGTGCAGTGTATTGTGTGCAGTGTACAGTCAGTGTAAAGCAAAATGTATGTGTGTGCCGTGTGTACAGTATACAGCAAGTGTAAAGCAGACTACAGTGTGTGCAGTGTACAGAGTATAGAAAGTACGAGACAGAAATGAAAAAAAAGCGGAGAAGAAGTGTACCTCCCAAGCCCGCCTGTAACCTCCAAGTAGCTGGCCGCTGCCGCGCGAAGCCGAGCTCATGTACCCGTAAAGGGTGGCCAGAGCAGCGCCGCCCCAGTCATAGTGCAAAATGTCCCGGACGTCCACCAATGCGCTGAGAAGGCAAAGAGGCACGGTGTTCGCCCGGTTGACAAAGATGGTAGTCCCGAACAGGAACATGAGGAAGCCGCGAGCATACCTCTCCACGTCCTCCGGGGTCATCTCCGCCTCCTCCTCCAACACGGGCTGGACTCGAAACTGGACCTCGAACCAGGAGTATCGAACGAAGCCTGGGCGAGCTAGTGGTGGCACCTCTCCCAGTAGATAGACCTGAGCGGCGGTCCACTCATCCATCGCGATGTCAAAAGGGATCGGATCCCCCCTACCCCGATGCCAGTGAGCATAGAGAAATCATGAGGGGTCATCGTCATATCCCCTGCAGCAGAGAAATGAAAAGAATCGGTGGTGTCCCACCACCTCTCCGCCAGAGCGGCGAGGAGAGGTCTGCATGTGGACAATCTGGAGAGCCCTCGACAGAAGGTGCCGAAGCCCGCCCGGTCCACGATGCGTCGGACTGCGTCAGGGAGCTCATCATACCACTCCTGTGCACCAATATTCCCATACCCGCGAATGGTATGGGAACCCTCCTGTAAACAGAAAATAACAATTGCAAGACAACATTCAAAATGCAGTTCTTGAAAAAGCAGATATAGCATGTGTGCAAGTTTGACAAGTTTCAGGCAAATACCGGGTGCCGGTGTGCTTGCAGTGAAATACATGTGCTGTGTCAGTGTGTTTGGGTGTTTCAGAACAGATATGGCATGCGTGCAGGTTTGAAAGATTCAGACGAATACTAGGTGCCAGTGTGTATGCAGTGGAATACAGTGAGTGCAGTGTGTTTGAATGATTCAGGGCTAGTGCAGTGTGTGTGCATGTGTTAGTCTCAAGCAGATATCAGTTGTATGTATGTTTACAGTCAACTACAGTCTACAGCATATCAGTTTTCAGCAGTTAAAGAATACAACTAACTATGACAGTTTTTGTATCCTACATTACAAAAAGTAAAGCGGAAGAAAGAGAGTTACCTCGGAAGTGCCGAATGAAAGGTGGGAGGTAGGCTCACGCAGCAGTAGCTCAGGCGCCACGTGCCTCTCGAAGCTCCGGAACTGACGCAGGCCGTCGGGGGGCAGAACATGGATCGCCGGTCGGTAGGTCGCCGGGCCGACCTGGCGCTCGC